TCAACTTTTGTGTTCTAATTGACTTTCATACAAATATTCTCGTACCCAGAGTTCCTCGTTTGACGAACTCTGGGTAGGATTGTACCTGGAGAAAAATTTTGCAGCCACTAAATTAAATTAAATAATTAAATTCTTTCACTAAAAGCTTCTATCTGAATTAAGCTTTTATCATCATCTAGGCAAAGATGTTTTGGGACGATATCGCTTCTCTCTGCGACAATGCCTCCATAAAATCTGAAAATCTGGCATGTGTAATGCGTTCCGCATCTGGTAAAATGAAAACAGTAAAAATGTTAAGAAGCAGAGTTACTCAGACCTTGGTGAGATCCTTCAAAGATAGCTGGCAGGAAATTGAGGATATGATTCGAACCAACGACCTTGTGATCGCAGTAGACTGCCCAGGCAAGCCTATTCGAAGGGTCGAATTTGAGAAACGTGGCATGGCTACTAATTCCGTAGAGTCAAGAACCATTATCCTTAATACAATCGGCATGATAGCTTTCGTTGCATTGTTCGGATTTTTTCTTGTTATAGTACAAGTGGCTTACCTTGCAATCTATTCAATTATTGTGGGTTTGTTTTTTTTCATCGCTAAGAGTGTAGGGGCTTTGTATTTTATCGTATATTTCATATACATTTTTTGCTATCCTGTTTACCTATTGTATGTCATTTTGAGTTTGATAATCTCGTTNAGTCGAGGACTGCATGTGACTCAGGCTGATTATTGATTTTAATAAAAAAAATAGAGGGTTGTGATAAGCTTAAATCCACTGCAAGTGCACTGTATTACTCTTTCTTTTATTTTTGGTCTTTAGTGTATGAGAATTTGTTTCATAGTTTTATGAAAAGCACTTTGTGTGGGGGTCAACTATCACTGGTGACTTTAAAAAACAATAACAAAGGAAAATGTATATTCAACTAGCTATTAAAGTGTAGTACATCTACTGTGAAAAAAAAAGAAAAAGCTTCAGTATTTTGTTTTAGCAACTTTCTTTAAAACTGGAAAGAGAGATATTCAAGATGATGAACTTCACAGTATTGCAATGGTTCTTTGTAATTGAACTCTGAAACAATAAAAAAATAATAATTTTAAATAATTGAGTAAATACATTGTATTTTTAATTTGGTGATTTACTGCAATGTCTTAATTTATTATTGTCCCAAGACATAATTGATTATGTATATAAGACTTATCATGTTTTTAATTAAAAAAAACATCACAAAAACCCACAGGGTAGGCCCTAAGTGGGCGTTGCCCGCCTCTCTGCCAATGGGATCGATGGATTTTGTACCACGTGATCATTTTGAATCGTCCAAAGCTTGATGCAAGCTGTGGCGCATATAGACTGGACGGTTAGGGGTCGTTTCCTGAGGCAGTCATGTATCAAAGACCTTTTTCACTACTATTAATTCTCAAATTAATTATTTCTAATACTTTGATTATCATTAGCTAGTAGTAGCTGGAAACAAGCTAGAAGTAAGTGGAAATACGATACAAGTAAATGGAAATAAGGTAGAATACAATGTAGGAGCACTTCCTCTGGTATCCAGTGACTGCACGTGGTACAAATTACAATCAGGCTAGGGATTGTCTGGATACCTCATGAATAATTAATGAGTATGAGAAGAGTTGGTTTATATCTAGATTCAAGGTTATTGCATGAGGTACTACCCTCACTGAATCCCGCTTGACAATAAAAAAAATTACCCCTCCCCTGGTAGTTATAAACATCACGTGGTTATTCAATTGAAACATACGAATTTAGGCAAATAATTCACAACAGAATGCAATTCACAATAATGAAATAGAAGTCAAGAACAACACAATTTGATAGAGAATATTGGCGGTGATTACGCTCCATACTACCCTGAGGTTTTTTGTGTTTGGCGGTTGAGTTTTAGCTAGGGAATCAGGCCATTTGATCGGACGGAGGACTGGTGAATACCAGTATATTCAAAATGGCGCACGGTTAGTCGTAACTGTTACTATTAATATGGAAAGAAATGGACTAAACAGATCATAAATTCATGTTTATTCATCACAAGCTTATTTGACTGGCAATAAAAAACTCAAGTAAATAAATAGCGTGTTATTTTGTCCATGAACAAGAATTTTTCACGACTCAAAACAAGGAGTCTCCTAAAGCCCGTGTTTGGACTTGAATTGAAAACTGCACGTGTACGTGCTTTACTGAACTCTGTACAAAATCTTTATTACCGTGACCAGGCTCAAGGCCTGCGTCACGGTCATAAAATGCAGTTGCTGTGTTTTTTTTTTCCATGTCGCACCTGAACCAAGCCCCTCACGGTNCGCCTTATCAATAGCTGTCGTTGCATTGTTCGGATTTTTTCTTGTTACAGTACAAGTGACTTACTTGACAATCTATTCAATTGCTGTGGTTTTTGCTTTTTTTATCGCTAAGAGTGTAGGGGTTTTGTTTTCCATCGTATATTTCATAATATACATTTTTTGCCATCTTGTTTACCTATTGTATGACATTTTGTGTTTTGTACTCTCGTTTAACCCTATTCAGACTGGAAGGGGGGGCTTTTGAGCCCCCCTTTTCCGTAAAAAGCCAATAACTTTCGAACCAAGACAGCTAGAGCTCTGAAACTTTCGGACTTTTCCTAAAATTTATCTGGGCAGATTTTGATGTAAATGTTTTGTTRATAACGTCATCCATGTCGCCATGGCAACCAGTTTTTGACACATAGGTTTTCAAAAAAGTAAAATATGCTTAATTTTTCATTTCTAAAGCTTATTTCTTGTTTTATTATGCATCTTTTACCTATTTGAGCTTGCTCCCATTGCTGACTCTACAATACCATAATACTTTTTCAACAACAAAAACTTTGAGGGGGAGGGGTGGGTAGCTTTCTGTCATTTTTTCACATGGGAGAAATCATCAGTAACACTTCGATACTCACTTTTTTATTCATTAAATGTTAGTTTGAGAGTATTTAAGACATTTTGAGCTGGTGGCCACAATGCTTAGTTTTTTAATGGMATTTTAGAAAATTCAAGATGGCGGTCCACGATGGCGGATCCTAAGATGGCGGATGTTCTTCTCAAAATTGCTTGTTCCAAATTGTTTAACTTCAAAAACTTCTCAARTTGTAAATTTTACCATAAARAAACGWTGTAGAYAAAAAAAAGTGAGATTTGGAGTCATATTATTCAAAGACGACAAAGACACTATAGGAAATGACGTCATCACAATAATGACGTCACAACTGTTACCATGGATACAAAACGAACCACAACATCACAGGAGAGCAGTAACGCCTAAATATAATATTTAACTGGTTATCTAGATGTAGATATATAATTTATAAAACTTACCTGATATCTATGACGTCATTTTGACGTCATATAGAACAGGGGTCAATTAAAAAAATACAAAAATATTATTTTCAAGTCATTTCAATAATAAACAGATGATATTGCAGCATTCTCTATGGAATTGTAGGCAATTTATTAAAATGAATTATAAATCGTTAAAATGGTAAAAATGACGTCACTTTGACGTCACATTTGGTTCCCACGGGTCAAGACTGGGTGTGGTGGTTTGTTTTACGTGGGCGATTATTGTTTGAAAATTTCATGCTCATAGACGTATTGGTTCCGAAGATATGCCGCAGCATTGGCCAATACCTTGCTCATTGCATTATCGTTGTCTATAGCTAGTACAAATATCTATTGCTGATCCAGCAGAGAGTAGAGCAATTTTATTTAATCCGTGAAATATAAACTAAACAGTTCTTAATGATTAGTCACTATTTTGTATTTAAATAGATGATAGCGCTCAAGCGAATCAACTTATAGTTCAATACTCAGGAGACATTAAATACACAAGAATCAAGGTGATTTTATAAATTTGTTTATTGATCGATCACAGTACAAATAAAATAAAGAATACTAAATGACTTTTAAATTAAAATTTGATTCCGTGTATTTAATGTCTGATCCTGAGTATTGAACTATAAGTTGTTTTAATTTTTTTCTCAGTTAGACCTACGTAAGTTTCTGTTTTTTCGTCATATACATATACAGGCGCGTAGCGTGGACGTTCTGGCTAGTAAGCACATGTCAGGGACCTCGACACATATTTTGATTGGGGGGAAAGCTAACGAACGCCGAAGGTGGGAGTCATTAAGAGGGTCTGGAAATTTTGAAATAATTACTTTTGGAAAGGAGATTTCTAGCCTTTTGAGGGGCATCGAGAGTATATAAAAGGCATCAAATTTATTTGAATTTGAATCCTTGGTGCGACGAGAAAGCAAGACAATTATATATAAAAAATTCCAATATTTTTTAATATTTCCTTGCCACATTTAGTACGCACAGTGCGTATATGCGTAACGGCCGCTATGAGTCTGAGAGAGTACATCACAAAAGGGGTCTTTTTGGCGGAAATGTCCAGAAGTCTCAAAGCAGCGATTTATTCACTCGGTGCACCAAAAGGGTCTTCATCATTGTCATGCAGACAGTATGTGTACATACTAGCTGCACTAAGGGAACTGGGGAGGGCCGAGTGGAGAATGGTAGGACGCTCCAGTCACGCAAGGCCGCTACATATTAATTTTTTTGTATTTGTTATTCTCAGGCGATCGGTGTGCGTGCACGAGGAACGTCTGGTGGATTCAATGAGGGCACGATCCCATCATTCAGCGCGCGCATGTACAATGTTGTATTATCGTGATTCGATCGCATTTACTACGCGAAAGCAAAAAAAAAAATTATAATAACAATAATAATCGTTTAACTTAATATATGTGCCGGTTTGTAAGATAGATTTCTATTGTTTATTCGTTCTTTCGAATTTATTACTGTGAGAAGGAAAATATTATCTGCTTGCGGTGCTTTGTTTTCCTTCAGTCTGAAACAGCGCGCCGATTGGCTAATATGATCACACACGCCGTGATCAACTGGAAGCCTGCGTCACATGCACACAATTAAACCACGTGATAGTGTGACGCAGGCTATCAACTTGCCGATCGTCAGAAAATATGCTGTGTCACTGTTCTAAGAAAAAATATCGTACTTTGCTCTCATAAGCGGAGTAAAACTGCCTTCAATGACTGATTATTTGTTGCAATCATGGCTGAAATGAGCAAATATGTTGACATTGGCGGAGAAAGATTTGCCCTTAACGAAATCCCGAATGCGAAAACTATTTTGGTTACTCGTGCTATAGACAGATTTCATAACCCTTAAGACTTGAACGAAATTGTCACCGATCTTTCCGAGCTTGGAAACTTCATTCATGTAGCGTGCAATGGAGTCGCGGTTGACACCGAGCTTCAGATTGCAATCGAACGCACTGGTTATGAGATAAGAAAACTAGCAGACAAGTCGGGTAAAACCGTTCACAGTTTCCAAATCAAATCGAGGGGTAATCTGAAAAAGCTAAAAAGGGCTTATCGGTATCTCTTGAATGGAAGGAAGGTTAAGGCGCTTGTCAAACTCTCCGGTTTAGCTTCATCGGCTGAGGAGACGGAAATGGTTTCTAAAGAGCTTCACAAGGACTTTACAAAGCAAGTTCAGATAATAAGTAAACATCGAACGAGGGCAATCCAACTCCTAAAACGTTTTAAAGAAGAAAAAAAGGAATCGGAAAAACAACGGGAGGAATTCGAAATACAGTTGAAAAAGGCACAACAAGAGAAAAGATACTTCAAAAAGGCTGAGAGAAAGGCCGATAAGATGTATGACGAGGCTCAACAGCGCCAAAATAAAGCCTATGGAGACCATCATGGTGACGCCATGACAACTTGGACTGATCATCCGATCTCAAAATTGGCCATTACCGTCTTTGGACGTATATTGGTAGCTTTTTTTCCAATCCCTCAAAAGTCGTTGGTACAAACTTCCGAGACTGGAGACAAACTTTTCTACAAAGAGGTCATGGATAAAGCCGGCGAAGAAAAATTCAAGCATTTAAAGATGAAGATGAAACAACTAGATATGAGACGAGAAGCGAATCAGCAGTGTATCGAGTTTGCCGAGCGAATCAAGAACTGTCAAAGTGGTATTGAAGATACACAATCCGTCATTGATGCCCTGAACAACTCTGTTGGTGCGTTGAAATCTCTCTATAACATCATGATGAATGCAGCTCTGTTTTGGGAGCAAATGCAGACACACTGCAAAGCCCTTCCTCCTGGGAAAGACTTGCAAACCCAGGTCGTCAAGTATGGCAATGCAAAAAATGTCTGGAAGTTTAAGAAAAACGCAATGAACTACTGCGCTAAGTGGGTAGCTTTGGTTGATGTATGTGATAGATACAGGCAGATCAAAACAAACCGCACATAGAGACTTGTTCCACAGAAGATCAAAACAAACCGCACATAGAGACTTGTTCCACAGAAGAGAATCAAACCATAGAGCAGTCCCTCTGCAATTCTTGCGACACGACATCATTGATAAAAGATTTATAAAAAGCCCAGCTCAATACATCTAACTATGTAATTAATCACATTTTGAAAGGCATGAAAACTGACTATCGATATTACACCGAGAAAGAAAACTTTCTAGTAAAATCAGCATTAGAGTAAATTCAGAATTGTATCAACTTATTCAGAAAGTCTTGAATTTTATCATTTATTATCATACTTATGATGCATGCTGCCCTAACACAGCTGTAGTCAGAAAATTAACGAATAAATATGCAAATTAAAATGAAACAATAGTTGTTTACAAAAGATCTTGTCATTTGAATGGTCAGCCCCTTCTGTATTAAAGTCAAAACAATCTAGCTCCTTGAAGGAATAACCTAGAAAAAAATAGCTTCAGTATCATACCTAGAGCACAAACACAGCTGTTGCTGATTTTCAATTTTTCTCTCGATCGTGAAATGAGAATGAATTTATATGTTAAATGAATTAATACATCAGAAATGTCACATTTAGTTTTATAATCCTAATAAAATGTTGCAGTCATTCTCATGCAAATGGCACGATTGTGGACATTGAATTTCAAGTGGGATTAACTTCAGTTTCCGAAAATGTTTGGAGTGCTGGAGAACCATATGGCGGGGAATCCCCCGAGAAATAAAGAACAAAGCTATCGCCGCCATGTTGGATGAATGAACAAGAGAAACTAATGAGGAATGCTCTGTGATTTTCATCCAATATGGCGGTGATGACGTAACTTGCACGCCAAGAATAACTGTTTGTAAGATTCAGGTTTTTCTTGCTTGACGTGCATCTGTCCTTGAGCAACTGAGCTGGGAGCAACGAAGGAGATGATTGTCTAGGTGCTTAAGGTATTTGTTTTTACTTTTTTTCATTAAAAGTTTCTTTCGCGGGATAATTATCAATCAACTTAATATTTTATCTCATTTAGGCAGCTGAGTGTTGGGACGACATCGCTTCGTTCTGCGACAGTGCCTCAATGAAATCTGAACATCTTGCAAGTGTAATGCGTTCCGCGGCATCGAAAATGGAGAATACAGTGAAAATACTAAGAAGCAGGGGCACGCAGACCTTGGTGAGATCCTTCAAAGATAGCTGGCAAGAATTCGAGGAAATGATTCGAACCAACGATCTTGTGATCGCAGGGTTTCTCGAATTTGGGCAAACGGGCATGGTTACTAATTCTGTAGATTCAAGAACCCTTACTCTTAATACAGTCGCCATATTAATGGCTTTCGTTGCWTTTTTTGGCTGTTTTTCTGTTATCCAAGGAACTTACCTGACAATCCATTCAATTGCTGTAGGTTTGGCTATATTTATCGCTAAGATTGTAGGGGGTTTGTATTCCATCGTATATTTCATAATATACATTTTTTGGTATCTTGTTTACCTTTTGTATGTCATTTTGGGCTTTGTAATCTCGTTTAAGATTGTAAAAGTTGGCGCACTGTTAGCCAGTGTCGGTGGTGCAGTTTATGCTTGCAAACATGGTTATTTGGAAAAGCTAAAACGAAAACTTCAATCAATGATGTAAGACACGATCCCAAACTACCATCCCAGGGGATTAAGGACATACTAGTAGTAATTTAGATATTTTGTTAATGTAAGACACGTTGCCTCACCCTACCATACCAGGGGATTAACGAGATACTAGTAATTAGGCAATTTAGTTGTTCATGTTGTATTCCTAACTGCTGTAACGAGAGATAAATTAATATCTAAACAATCAGTTTGTACAAGACGACCTGAAGGTCGTTGATACGTAGTTCGAAAATAAATGATATAAAACTTGTTTTTTAGGTTATGTCAATTTGTGCAGAATGCTGCACCAAAAAGCGTGCCAAGAAAATGCGCGACATTTATTACTACTCTAAGTGGGTAGCTTTGGACGAGGTTTGTGGCAATTACATGCAGCAGATCAAAGACACACGTGGAGATCTCTACAAATACCTCGAAGAGAACCCAACGATCGAGCAATCCCGCCGAAACGTGCGTGACCTGGCCATCACATTTATGAAAGATTTGCAGAAAGCACAGAATGACCTAGAGAAAAAAGACCTTCAGACAGCTCAAGAGATCAAGGAGCTCAAGGAATAAAAAAGCGCATATTTGAGGACTCTTTTCATTTCATTCTTTTCTCATTGCTTATGATTATTTTATAAAGTCTTTATCGGGATTTAGGTTAGGTAGGATAAGGTAGATTGAAACATAACAAACATGAATCAAAGAGAGAACGAACTTTCAGCACTGAAACGACTTTTAAATTTAATTTTCTTTTATGAAAATGCCTGAAAGTTTTCGATTTAAAATCYTGTAAAGTGTCYGGCTGCCAATCTCGATTTCCATATTGTATGAAATCGATCWTTTTTTAGTGCATTTCAATTTCATGTACTAGGTATATTACATGTAGTAGTAAACACATTTGAAGTTGTCAAATAAAAAAATCATTTTGTTTCATTCCGCCTCTGATTAAATGTRATTTTCAAGGTAAGAACATAGGCAAATAATAATTATAATAATACGGACAAAAAAGAGTATATAAACGAATATTGGACAGCTAAAGTAAAAACTTGATTTAATTTTTGAAGTTAACTAATGCCATTTCATTAATGAACAGTTTTATAAAGCATGTCTAATTAGCACCATTTCATGCGGTTTGTTTGCCCCGTTTTTACGCATTCCTTATTCCGAATTGGCTGACATGCGATGCCTTTACCACGCTTTTTCTTTTACGCTTTTAGATCTGTTTATTTAGCTGTGATCGACATCAACAAGAGGACAAAGAAGTCGCCGATCAGTTCGGCTACAGTGACAGTTTGATGTGCATGTGGCAGCCGTCTCTTCTAATGAGGCTATTTTTAAAAAGTCGCTGCTTCAAAATGACGGCATTTATTTTGACCGTGAACTTGTTGACGAACCCAAAATATTGATTTTGAAATCATGAAAGGTCCTAGGAAAGGTCCTATTTTGATTAATAATCCCAGTGGAATGCTACACACAATGATGAATATCGTGCAAATGACACAATTGCTGACATTGTCTTTCCGTATGGCTGACCCTCAGTTTCCGGTAATAGCCACTATTTTCTGAGAATCGCACAAATTCCACGAGGTATTAAAGGCTCGCGAGGGGCTCAAGAGAATGGCTCACTGAGACATTAGTGCATAGACACAAGTATTTTGGCAATGGCAGTTGCTAGTCTGGAGCTGTCTTATACCTATTGCCTTGATCAAGTAAAAGAGGCGTGCGACTTAATTGAAAAAGGCGAAGCTAGCAATGCGGCCTTCATCCTCTGCTCCGTACGAGACGACGCTAAACTTATCCAGAAGCAGTCCAAGACGTATTACAAAGGTCTGCAGCGTCTTGAARCAGTACAACAGAAAAGAATGGAGCATCTTACAGAAAAGATAAATGACTTGTATAATGAAGAGGAGAGATATTCCAAGCAGGAAAGCGARCTTGGGATTCAGAAACAGGTATATATACAGGCTAGAGAAAGCGAAGAAGCAAGCAAAATGGCTGCCGAGAGACGCTATCGTGATGCAGAGAGAGAAAAAGAAAAACACTTAAAGGAGCAAAGAGAAAGAGACGAAAAAGGAAAGAATTTTTGGTGGGTTCCCGGTTATAATTTGTATTTGGTATTCGAAGACTTGATCGAAGACAACAGACAGAAAGCGCGTGATGCAAGCCGGGAAATGGAAAATCATCAACGTAAGATCAGGGATTCTGAGAGAGAGATAGACAAACTTTCAGATAAGGAGGCGAAGGTAAGGCCTTTTATTTTCAAAAACGGGCTTGGAGATTAAAAGAATTGAGTGCATGTCATTCAAACGGAAGAGAATGCTCTTTAGCCGAGACGACCCTTGCTTTTTCGATCCAAGCTAGATAGGGGCAGCGTCATCTTCGACTTCGCATACATCTATTCCATTCTTTTTATGACTTATGTAAAAGTACAACAACATTCTTAGAACTATTGTCATTGTATAGGCTAGAAATGATATAGAAGCGTGTATAAAAAAACAAAGCGACGCCAAACATGAGAGAAACAATCTCCATGACAAACTGGGCGCAACGAAGGAGATGATTGTCTTGGTGCTAAAGGTACCTTTTTCATTTTTTTATTATTTATTTATATATATATCTTTTTCATTCAAAGTTTCTTTTATCTCATCTAGGCAGCAGAGTTTTGGGACGACATCGCTTCGCTCTGCGACAGTGCCTCAATGAAATCGGAAAATCTTGCAAGTGTAATGCGTTCTGCGGCGTCGAAAATGGAGAATACAGTGAAAATACTAAGAAGCAG